AAGATACAGGAGGGCCCGCCTCGCCTCCCGCCCCCTCCGCCTCCCCTCCGATCGGTCCACCCCCTCCCCTCCGATGCCCCCCACTTCGGCAGGCGTGGCGCGAGTGGCGGTGCCTCCGGGAAGGCTGGAGGCCTGGAGGGGGCAGCCAAAGGCAGGCTGGCTGGCTGGCAGGCGGGCGGCTGGGGCAGGGCAGGCCACAACGTGCCGTGCGGCTCATGGAGCGGCTGGGCTAGCCGGCCCAGGACCAGGACCGCGCCGACGCTGGAGCTCGCCGTCGAGGAGTCTCACCGCTACGGCCGCAGACCATGAGGAGGGCTTCGACGTCGGCGCTCAGGAAGAGGACGGCAACAACGACGACGAAGTGCACGCCGGGCGGGTCGTGTGGCTCGCGGTGCTGCCGCTGACTCCGCCGCGCCCACCGCTCGTCGGGGACGTGCTGCGGGCCGAGCTGCTTGCCGTTCTGCGGGCCGTGCTGCGGGCCGTGCTGGCTGCGGGCCGTGCTGGCGGCCACACCCGAGCGCCTCGACCCCGGCCATGTGACGGAGGAGCAGGTACGTGGGGTTAGGCCCGCTCTGAATGAGCCGCGGGCCGGTGGCGGCGGCGGTGGCGCCGCGGTGGTGGTGGGGGGTCGTGTGTACGCCCGGGGTGGGGCGGGGCGGGGCGCGGTGGGGGGCGTGTTGATGTCTTGTGATGGGCCTGACTGCCTGCCGGCGGGGCGGGGCGGGGCGGGGCGTGGTGGCCGTGGCCATTTGGATGGAATGCCTCTGCTGCTCATTGTTTACCCCCAGCAGGCCGTCCGTCCACAGGTGCACACGCCCCCGAGACCGACCGCGCCGCTGATTTGCACCTGCAGCTGTCATGTCACCACACCTGTAGGAGCGCCTGAGCGGACTGACGGATCGTCCGGAGCTCCAGTTGTCTGCGGCTGCGGGCGAGTGTCCGTGTATTATGTGCGAGAGATAGTAGGGCGCGTTGGTGGACGAGTTTTATCAATGCGAACTGCACGTTTTGGTATGGTTGTGTGTACTTTAAGTAGTTGTTATAAGATTATGTGCGACGGTACTTAAGCAAAGGCCCTTTTGCAAACCTGCATGCATGGATTGTGTCATTTTGTTAGTTTAGGGTGCGGCAGAGAGCCCTAGGTGAACATTTGTTTTTGTTGTGTGTGACAGGGACTCAAATTATCGCAATCAAGTGGTTTCTGGCATTGCAAGCTCCATGCGGGCTTATCGTGTGCCGTGCGCACCTATGGAGCTACGCTACCGTTTGTGAAACAATTAGCTGCTCTTAAACGAAATCGAGCTCATCCTGTACGCCAGATGGTTGCAATGCTACAATTAACACATGAACGCTCCACCATTCGGTAACCAGATCCTCGGCCGTAATTTCAGACCGTAGTCCAAACCGTGTTGATTGCACCCCAGCTTTGGAAAAAAACTCGGAAAGTTCAATGCAGCACTAACCCTACACACTCAAGTACGATCTTGCACGGTTTACATGGACGATATGAACTGTTCACGCCTACGGTATTTTTTCTTAGTGTGGAGGTCCTCTGCGGGTGTCTGAAGCCACAGTGCTCATGCCCCGCCCCCTTCAGGTTGACGTAGGGGTCTTAGTGAGCGGAGGGGTGGCGATGGGGCGAGAAGGGGAGAGGGCGGCGGTCGCCAGAACCCAATAAAGACCTGTTTGAGTCCATATAGCTCCTGTGGGGGCCGCTACCGGGGCCGTGAGAGGCCGCGAGTACCGCTGGCCCCAGTACGGCTATAGGGCGGG